TTTTCTAATTCTTATCGAAAATTTATCGAAATCAGCTGACACATCAAAGCAAAATGAAAATCATAAAAGAAAACAGACAAACACAAGTATTTATTTCAAACCAAAAACTATTTGTACTATTAAAACACGAAACAGAAAACAGAAACAGAAAACTGTCAAATTACGTGTGGTGTGAATGGAGCAATTCGCATTCGTAATTGATGTGATTCACGATGTCGCGGAAAAGCCGCGTAAAGTCGTTGGTCAATGCAAAACGAGAATTTGATGAAAGATTTAGTTTGTATAACACAATCGTGCACGAGCACCGAAAACGTCCAGCCTTAATTTCGATATTGATTCCGCATGTTCTTACAGAACGAAATTGCGCATGGTTTGCTTATCAAACGGCAAAGAAATAATTCATTTTTATAGCGCATTGTTACTGGCGACGAAAAGTCGCAAGGGACCAGGTTCTAATAAGAATGAGCCAGCTCAAACAGCTGTCAGCCTTCGATATTCACCAAAAAGTTTGTTGGGCTTCCAAATGGGTCGTTTATTTTGATCTAATGTCGAACAATACAACGATTAATTCTGAAGCGTATTGTAATTAGCTGGGCAAATGGAGTGATCATTTCAAACAAAAGAGGAGATAATTGATGAACAGAAATGGTGTAGTGTTCTACTAGGATAATGCGAGGCCTAATACAAGTTTGATGACCCGTCAGAAAATATTACAGAGCAAGTGGAATGCTCTACCACAGTCACCATGTTCGCCACATCTCACAACTTCGGATTACTACTTGCAAAAAATATATGGGTGATATAACCTTCATTCCCAATTAAAATGCCAAATACCATTTTGACCACATTTTCGCCAGCAACGATACAAATTTTTTTTAAGAGATTGGAATGAATCTATTGTCCGAAGGATGGGAAAAGTTGTTGCATGGAAATGGAGAGTACATAATTTAAAAAAATGTCTTACACGATATAAAATAAGCAATTACTTAGGGAACGACCTAATACGACGTAAGTTCAAAAAATATCACGAATTTTGAATTTTCGCGGGTTACGTATAATCGAATTTCGATTTTTTTGTGGCGTTATGTTGGTACTCATGTCTGTCACTTATGCCGACAAGCTGGGCCATTTTGAATGTTCACGTAATTGTTGACAGCTGATTTGCTTGCACGAGTTTTGGATGGTTATCGATTTTTATTCAAAAAAATGGATCAAAGAACCTGTATCAAATTTTGTGTGAAAAACGAAATTAAGTGCGCGAATGCATTTCGAATGTTGACTGTGGCATACGGAAAAGCTACCTTGGACCGAAGCAACGTTTATCGGTGGTACCAAATGTTCTCAGAAGGCCGAGATGTGAACGACGAAGAGGGTGCCGGACGCCCGAGCACTTTAACAACAGACGAAAAAATTAATTGCAGGGGCGTGGTGCATCATGGCAATCCGCCAGAAACGCTCGGATTTGTGGAATAACAAAAATTGGCTTTTGCACCACGATAACGCCTCTGCTCGCACATCGTTGCTTGTGGGCGACTTTTTGGCCAAAAACATCACACTAATGATGCCGCAGGCACCGTATTTTCTAGATCTGGCCCCCTGTGGCTTTTTCTTGTTCTCTAAACTGAAGAGGTCTATGAAAGGACGACGTTACGCTACGATTGACGAGATAAAGACGGCATCGAAGGGGGAGCTGAACAAGATAAAAAAATTATTTTTTGAAGTGCTTCGGAGATTGGAAAAATCTTTGGCACAAGTGTATAATATCTCATAGGGATTACTTTGAAGGGGACAAAATAGATATTCATGAATACGTGTAAATAAATAGTTTTTGAAAAAATACAAAATTCGCGATGTTTTTTGAACACACCTCGTATATCTTTATTTCGTTGGTGGGTACTGGTTTTTTATGTATGTATTTTATTTTTGTAAACATATGTGCATTTTCTAAAAAAATATTCCTTAAATTTTCGTAAAATATGTAATATTCCAAATTATAATAAATAATATATCTAAAAAGTTACATTTACTTGGTCATCATGCACTAAATCGTTCTTCTTTTTTCGCGTTCTCTTAAAAATTTTGTAGTATTGTACATATGTATGTAAAAATATGTGTAAACGAATAAGTACAATTCATAAAAATTTGAAAATGTGCCAATAAAAAAAAATGCTAAAATTTGGTGATTAACTGTCAATTTGACAGCGTTTTCTTTATAACTAAGCATGTTATTTCTAAGTCCATCTTTGTTGGTCAGGGTGATCGCGCAATCCGTAACTAGTTCTAGGACATCAAAAATATTTCAATTTCATCCCAGTTTAAGGGACTATATCTTTATTCTAGACTACAGAATTGCTGCCATTTGTGCATCAAATTTGGATCAGCTGCAAATGTAAATCAACTGCAGCCAGTTGTTGTTTTTTCATATAAATATAGCTTTACAATCAATCACTGCACACTTCATATTCATACTTTTGCTTTATTATAAATACACATATAAAACGAAAATTCTCGAAATATTTAAACCAAGAATGAATCGAAGGTGTGACGAAAGCAATGCAACAGCTGATTGTCAAATTTTGCAACAGTGAATAACGATACCACTGAAGACGTAGTCTCAGAGCTTCACCGTTCTTGTATTGTAGCCAACTTCGTTTAGCTAATGCCATATTTATATGATAACTTTGTGTACATTTGTGTGATTTAAGCGCCATTTTCTTCGTAACTTGTTGCTAACGAGATGCCAACTTCATTATACCCATCTCGTAGAAGGCTGCGTCTGTATTGGCAAAAAACTCGATTTTCACAGGCCTCTCCTGAGGCCAACTTCTCACCTTTAGGCGCGTTCGCCATGGACAGGAAAATATGGTAATCACTTAGTGTCAGATGCGGACTATAATGTGGGTGCATTAAGACCTCCCATGCGAAGTCCTGGAGCTTCTGGCGCGCCACCAAAGACGTGTGTGACGTTGTCCTGATGGAACACAATTCGGCCTCTGTTGATCAAAGGTGGCCTCTTCTGGATGAGTGCTGCCTTCCAGCGGTCCAGTCCAGCTCATAGTAGACGATTCCTTGCCAACCTCACCAAACACACATCAAAACATTCCTGGCTGACAATCCGGTCTTGGCCGCCGTCTGGGCCGAGCTTTGACCACGATCGTTTGCGCTCGATGTTATCGTAAGTGGCCCCTTTTTCATCGCCAGTCACAATCCGCTTCAGAAACGGGTCGATTTTGTTGCGATTCAGCAGCGACTCACAGATGGATATTCGGTACAGCAAACTTATTTTTAAATCCAAGGTTATGAAAATTATTCCTAACGGTTTTCTGGCTTATTTTTAGTTCCTCAGCAATTAAATAAGTGCTCAAGTGACGGTCTGTTTCCACTATTTCCATGATTCTATCGCAACTTTCGGCGACAGGCCTCCCGACTCGTGGGGCATCTTTGACATCGAAATCACAGGAACGGAACCTAGCAAGCCAATTTTGTGCTGCACGTTCGTTTACAATATCGGGCCCATAAAGTAAATTAATTATTTTAGCCGCTTTGGCTGCTTTTTCGCCTTGATCGAAGATAAATTGTAAAATTTAGCGAATTTTCTCTTTGCTGGTGTCCATCTTTGACAAGCGCTCACAACGTAATGAGTCAATCAATCGAAAAACTGTCAAAGACAAACTTTTAGCGCTAATAAACACGTTTTTAGCACCGTATGGTATGACGTGATACCACACGTAACACTAGTACTATGTACAATAATGCAATACCTGACGAAAACCGAACAAACTTCTTACTTTACTTCATAATATGTAAAAGACATGGTCCTGAGTAGACCAAAAATCGATGCAATGGTCCGGTTTTTCTAAACAAAAAAAAAAAATTTGACATATGGAAACTCATTGCTCAAGCTAATGCGGGTAAAGCTTGACAGTTTATAGGGCATAATGAAATAAATAATTGCAGAAACTAATACAAATATTTTTAGAACCATCTTAATATTTCATGCAGACGAAGTCGCAGGAAAACTCTACTTGAATATAAATCATAAACATTTATTCTACAAATAATTTTTTTTATAAATTTTCTGATTCGATACCAAATTAAATTAAATTTTAATTTACAATAAAAATGAAAAAAATTAATTTAAAAAAAAGCCTTCAAGATTCTTGGAAGTAATTTAGTTGCGGTGCAAAAAGTTTCGGAAACTTATAAGTTCCCTGGATGAAACCTATACTAAATATTGGTTAAAAAAATATCAAAACAAAAAATGCGTTTTATTCACTTAAAATTTATTATTATCTTACATATTTACCAAACAACATTATCCACAATTCAAATTCAGTTAAAAACACTTTGTACAAACATTTACCTAATAAAACATTAGTATGACCGTAAAAATGTACAGAATAGTAATATTTAAAAAAATATACGGAATAAGTATGTATTCACAAAACTATGTATAGGTAAGTAAATGGCGATTTTTTTATATAAATAAGATAAGTGATTAACTAATAAAATTAACTATTTTTTATAAATTACTAAATAACAATTGAAAAAGCTTTGCCTTTATTCAACATTTAAATTTTTTTTTTACTTTTCGTTTCACACATGAACTTTAAGTAATTGAAAAATATAACTTATTTTCAAAACTAACAAATGTTTAAGAAGTTTAAGCAAAAAAAAAAAATTTAATTAAATTTCAAATAAATTTTTTTTAGTAGCATCTTTCATGTCTTTTAAGTTTGCGACAGAAAAGAAATTTTTTTTTGAATAATTTGGTTTATTTATTTTTTCTTCACATAAATGAAATTTAAATAAATATTTTTTCGAAATAATTTTCTTATTATATTAGAACTCTTCTTGTATATAACAAAAAAATTCAGTAAAACATATACACCAGAGAAGTATTTCATTTTTGAAATCATTAGCAAATTTTTGGAATTTTTTATACATAAATAAAATTAAAAAAATACACGTTATTAGTGTGAGAGAGAGAGGGAGAGAGAGAGGGAAAGCGAAACCCAATTAAAACTAAAATCACAAATATGCACTAATTTTTTATACAAAACAATAATATTCACTATTTGCTTGCTAAATATGCTCAATATGTATATACATATGTACATAATAAAATATAATAAATTCTAGTTAATTAGCATTATCTGCGCACGCCTTGATACTCGCCATTATTCGCTGAACGCGCTTTACCTGGAAAGCCTCGTGCGTAGGGTGGCTTCGCATTTGTGGTCACATAGTAATTTCCACGGGATCTGAAATTATTGTTGAAAGGGAGTTTAATAAAAAGAAGTGGTATGAGAGGTACGTGTGGCAACTTGAACTCTACGAGGAAGGAAATATTTGTGTTTCTTCCACGGGGGCTTAAATCTAACCCTACCATAATTTAATCTAAGCTATCGAAATTTCGAAGGACAGCTTATGCCTAGAAATTTGGATACACCCCGGAAAGATTCGTTTACTTAAGTTAGTATTGCCGGATGTCAATTTTGGTCCTTGTTGTCTCACATGAAAATTTTCCGCACAAAGAAATTAGTTCCTGCCTTAGTTTTTGATACTGATGCATAAATTAGGATAGGATACTATCTACCGTTACGTTCAATATTCACAAGCTAAGGTGGGAACAAAACTTCGATAATCGAAACATCGCAGATTGATACCGGAAAAACCTGAATGGATTGTAGTTTATAAAAAATGTGCATGATCTTATCGAACGGAATTCAGATAAACGACCTGTCCTTTTCAGAAGATGCTATCGGATCTAACCGAATGACGAGATGATTTTTCACACTTTATGTAATTCTTCATTTTCTTCCTCTTTATTGGGGTAGACACTGCGCTAACAGAAGCGCGCCGTTCATTCCTTCTTTTCGCTGTTTTGCGCCAATCAACAACTAGATCTTACTCCGCCTTTTCTTTGCAATGAGGTGAAGGTCTCACTCTTCCGCTGCTTCCACCGTCGGGTGCCGCTCAACCCTTTGCAGTACGAGAATAAAGAGGGTATTCTAATGTTTGGTATTTGTTCGCCGAGAGAGGACTTTTCAATTGCTAATCAATCCATAGCAGCAACCGTTGGCAAGAGTGATTCTGTATTGGACTTCCAGCCTGACATTGTTGTTGTTTTTAGCACTGGTTCCAAGATAGACGAAGTTATCTGCGACTTCAAAGTTATGACTGTCAACAGTGACCTTAGAGTTGAGTAGCAAATGCGATGTCTACTACCAGACTCATATCCTTCGCTTCCTTATTAAGTTTGAAGGAAGCAGAACTGACTTTTATGACTCTTCCCTATTCAGGTATGTAGCTCGTATTATTTTCTTCAAGAACAATATAAAAAGGCCACACGATAATGAATAACTTCGTTTGGAACCTAGAGTAGAGGTTCTTACCGATCTTGTCGGAGCTTTTAGTGTTGCTAAGAGTACCATTAAGACGAATATTCTCCTTTGAATATAAGTACACTTTGGCATATTAGAGTTGTTTTCGTGAATAGCGTTTGACCTTTAGCAGAGTTTTAAGTAATCTAATTAAATTCACAGGCAAGTGATGGCATCGGTGACATCAAAATGAGCCTTTATTGGTCTTAGTATTCTGATGCTTGAATATCGGCAACGTCTTATGGCTATCTATCTAAATTCACTAGTATTCATTAAGTGTGAAGCTGATGCATAATTTGGCAGTTCACATTCAGTAAGACTGAGCATTTGAAAGCCGAGCCTTAAGTGCATGCTTTCAAATATCCAACATATTTCGGTCTTAGCTTCGCTCATCTGAACTGTCAAAGGGAAGAGCTTTCTTCCACATTACTGCAGTAGTAGACATTTTATACAAAAATCGAGTTAAAGCTATTTGATCCTAAATAATATGGCTTCACAGGATTATTAGAGGATATGTTCGAAATCAGAATCTAAAATAAGATACTTTTCAATAATCACAGCCTAGAAATCTAATACGACAGATACGAGGAAAAGATAGGAGGTGATTGTAGTTGAAAATTCATTCAGTAGAATAATTCAATGTATAATCGTTAGGAAGATCATATGAGCTACTATCACGTTAATGATACGAAATATAGACTAGAATTTTTGGAAATATGGAAAGTAATCCTATTTGAAAGGGATACTCCTTCCATACAAGTCAGATGGAGCTCTATAAACGGAGAAAGACTGCTCAAATGGATCTCAAATGCTTCAGCGGAGTTGAAAAAAAGGCAAGGTAAGGTAACACTTCAGATGTAACATGGCAAGAACTATAAAGTACGATAGTGAAAAAATAAAACAAATGTATGTAAGATTTCTTTCACTTACTTGTGAGAGACATGTTCGCCCATCAGCACATACTCCGAATCTTTCGGCTCACACCAACCTATCAGATAGGTAAAGAGATTCGGACAGGGACCAGCATAGAAACCGCGTGTCGTTGTGATCGACTCAATGAAGTAGGGCGTCACCTTCGTATGATCGCAAGCTAAGGTTTCTGTGAAAGAAAAAAAACGAGCAAGAAAAGCACATTACTAAAAAGCAAAGGCAAATAAGTGCACAAAACTTACGAAACAACGTCGCTGAGCCCACACAAGCCGGCTGCCGCGTGCCACCATTCACATAAAAGTCCGCATGACCGCTCGAATGCCATTGACCCAAAATACCCGCCCCAGTATGCAGCACATCCACGAAGTGAGCATCACTCGAGTCCAAATCGCGTGAATTATTCGTGCCCGCATAGAAGAATATCGTCGGATCCAAAGCGGTGATACGACCCAATTTACCCTCGTTCGGCTTGAGATAGTTCGCAATCAGACCGGCAATATGCGCACCCACACTATAACCAATCAGGTGCAGGTCATCCGGTTGTACGCCCCGTGGATGACGTGCTAAATACTTAACCAACTGTGAGATACAAAGGCTACCGAAGCGTGGCGCCCACTCCATTTGACTGAGGCAAGGTTCCTTTACGGCATTTGCGTAATCTACAATGATTATATTGTAATCGCCGATTGCGAAGTAAGCTTCACGCAAATCCGGACTCGGACTATTGTCGCGTCCGCCACCGAAGCCATGTATAATGATTTTGGTGGGATGTCGCGGGTTGAAGTGTGTGTAGTAGAGCGCATTGTCATCGAGCACATCGATGAACTCGGGATTCAGTTGTGTGCGTCGGGTGTAGAGGTAGAATTGTATTTTCGGATGTGGGCAACGGTACGGTTTCTCCAAACACGAGTCGGTCACATACACCTGATTCGTGTCATTCTTGCGCTGGGCGACTGCAAAGAGTGGATGTTGAAGAGTTCATTATTGTACATATATTTATGTTTATAAAAAAAATGATTGTAATTTAGGTGCATGCTACTCAGCATTAAATTTTTTATTCGTAAAAATCGCACACTTCTCTCTTATCCAATCACTTTTCCATGTTTCGTAATTAAAATCGGGGGAAAAAATTTATATCTTCACATTGTGGACATAAATATTTATTTAATATGTTTGTTTTTTTTTTTTTTTTGTTTTTTGCTCAACTGAAAATGTTTTGAATTACATTCGTTGCACTTGCAGATCATAACAATTAATTCCGAGCTTTCGTAATCCCTAACCGGTCTCCTTCGTGTGGCGCCAAATTCCCCGTCAACATTTCGTGCTGCGACTCCACTGCGTCTCCGCTGCGGCTATTTGTGTAGTGGTTGTGTACAAAATTTGGCGGAAGTAGCGGATTCACACTTGCCAAACGACATTACAACTAGACGGTAATGCATGCAACACATGCCACATGCCACGAACAGCATGCCACAGCCGATTAAATGTATGACGTTGGGGTTGCATGCAGTGAAGTGTTTGGAAACCGGTTACTTTTGACCGAAATTTATGGTTTTTTTATTTATTTCTTTTCAAGTGCGGAAGTCTGGATTTTATTAACACAAAAGTGTACGGTTCGTAGTAGAAAGTTTTCGCATACATATTTGTTGTAAATATTAACAATTATAAAATATAATGCTACGACTTAAGTCGTCTCTCTCGATGGATGTCTATGAGAGCAATTTTTCTAACTAAAAATTAACTCATGATTTTACCAAGAAGCATATTACCAGAGTCCGGGGGAAATATGCATGGTTCAACGGGGTTGGATTCCCAAACAAAAGAGCGCATCAAGAGTAATTGGACATAATTTTTGACAGGGTGCTGATGCGGATGCTTAATGTGGAGGAGCAGGTGGGAGAGCTCAATAGTATCCTTTAAACTAAGAAGAAGCATATATGGGGACTATCGCCCGGCCTCTTGTTTTGATGTAACCTGGCGGTAGTGAAGCCTATCTTACTCTACGATGTTTTGGTGTGGAGAACTAAGGCCAGCAAAATCTCATACAAGAATTTGAGAATGTGGAGCAAATAGACAACGAACAGCCACGCTTTATCTGGAAAATAAGATTTCATCAAAAACGGGAGAGCTACTACAGAAACATGCGAAACTTAAGACGTCTAGGCGGACGGATCAAAAATTGATCCCAGAGTATGGCCGCTGCATGCTGGACGTGGTCTGTTTGGTCAAGTATTATCCAATAATGAATGCTGGATTTCAAGTTGGGTTATGGTGCTGCGAATAGTACGCCTAAGTTGAACGAGGCTTAAGTCTTTTCATGATAAAAATAACATGACAGCTTGACATGACTTACGCGTAATCTGTCAAAAAAGGCAATTGAAAAGAGTACTTATACTTGGATCATCCGCTACGTCTATATAGTTGGCTCTCTATAACCGCTGAAGCGATTCTCGGCCGAGCTCGTCCAGCAATATGTGGTATGCGTCTGTTTTCCAACAAATGGAGGTACCTTGAGGGCTTGGCAAGTCCTTCCCGGGGGTGATGGCAGTTAGTAAATTATCTTTTTATAATTTTGGATGTTGGTGGTATCATGACTCGAAACATGGCCATCAGAATGGCTGTGGGAAATGCTAACCATTTGGCTATCGCGGGAGACGAAGACTATTTTACCTCTAAATAAACTTATTCTTCAGCTAGCACTACAAAAAATCGACCTACCTTAATAACCTTCTGCATATCAAATGACCATGAAAGTGGGGCAGTGCCATTGGAAGGAATCTTTGTTGAATCTTGTGTAATAATTGATATAGGAGAGATACATTTTTTAAGGGAGTTTCAAAAAAAATTTTTTTTCAAAAACCTACTAAATGGGAAGAGAGAGAGAGAGAGAGAGAGAGAGAGAGATAGAGAGAAATTGAGAACACGTCTGAACATCTGCCGTACATAGAGAACTGTGATATTTGCAGGTCTGATCGATTTTATCTATGAAAGTAGAGTTTACACGTCCTTCGAATGCTCTTTTCTTAAGGAACTTGTTGACCTAATTTTTCAGAAGATAAAAACACTTATGGAGTAATAAATGAAAATAAAATTTCTCAACAAATATTCTAGCGAAAAGATAGTGAAAGCAAAGAATAGAAAATTCGAAAGCTCACCATTTGAAAGTTTACTCTTTAGAGAAACCGAAAAATATATATTATTAACTTCTCCGAGTGTATTTCTGAAAAATTGACGGAATTAAAAAATCATTATCCAAACCCTCAAATCTTAAATTTTGAAATACCGCCAAAAAAAATCTGATTCACAATCAAAACAAACTTTTTGCCCCAAGTTGAACTCTAAAGAGATTATCTAATCACATTGACATGCAACACTTCCTTAAGTAAAAAAAAAACTTGCTGAAAAACAACGGTAATCACAAAAAGAAAAAAAAACTTTATTGAAAATGCAATTCACATGTCGTCCAAGCAAAACATACATACATACAACTGTTGAAGTAATTTGCGTATTTGACAGTGACCAATGGGTCATTATGAATCTCAGTTACATAAAAACATCAAAATTGTATAAAGGTAAAGGTAAAAGAAAAAATTAAAATAATAAAAACTAAAAGCTAACAAAGAAACGCTACAATAAGCGCAAGCAAGTCTATGTAAGCTCATAGAAACACTAACGAATGAACGTGATGAGCGTGTTTAATGGGCAATTGAAAATTAATGGCAACAATATATGTATGTAAGTAAGTACATACCATACTTATATGCATGCTTGCACGAGTACTTGCATGTGGCGAAAATATCCACTAAATCCACAGAGTCTCATTGCCATTGCATCCAAACTTATGCTCATTTCGAGATGGTAGTCCGTCACCTACAGGAGCCAACAGTAGCAATGTAGAGTAATTGAGATTGGCACAGTGGTCTACTTTTGTTAAAAAATAAATTCAATTCATGCAGCTGAGATATAGAAAAAATATTACAGTCATAAGAACCAAGTGACAAGATTTCTTCAAACATCATTCGATCCCAAGTTCTATGGGAATTATTAGCATTGTATCTCAGATAATTGAAGTTTAGTCTTTTAAAGAGAGCTAATTTGGAGCGTTTAGGACAATCATTTTGAAAGTCACCTAAGTCCTTTAAACTCCTCTTTCGTCAGGACTACATAGACATATGCCTCGGTCTTGATCTCAAAACAATGATATCTATCGCTATGAGTTACATGTGGGAATTTCGATAGTTAATTAGGAAAACGAAACCTATTGCTTGACAAAAAGTGAGGAGTCGAAATGCCATGAATCTGCTGAGAATATCTTCAAGAAGGTTTCAAGATGGAGAATAGTAATATTGTTACAAATGTTCCTCGCATGCTAAACTTCTGGAAGAAATGTTTTCCAGTTTAGTTAATGGTAGTGAAAATATAATATAACTCCCGGAAAAACTCGTTTTCCAATTGATGACCATGAACTATGCGCCAATGATTGGAATCAAAATATGCTCTATATAATCCATAAACTGGAGGTTTATCTGTCAGTGTGAGAAAGAGAAAAAAAGTCATCAAATATAGCTTTTTTGCAGTATACTGAAACGTGTTATTTACAAGCCGACTTTTATGAATTTTGTATTCTCGTGGAAATTTGATTCCATTTGTAAATTCATGAAAATTTTGAAGCGTACTGCATCAAAACATCTTATCCGTTGTGGGAATATTTAGTTTGAGAGTTAGATCGCCCCCCGCCGTTATCGCAAGCTACCGAGCACCAACGCAGTGATTGATTTTTCCAGGGGAGAGGCTCAGGGGTTCATCGGGAATGCGAAAGCCTCCAAATCCAACGGCCTCGAAGGAATAAGAATGCTGATGCTAAAACATCTGGAGTCAGCAGAGCAAACTTCCTTACAAAGTTCCTCAATCTGTCTTTGACGAACATAAAAGTACCCAATGTGGGGAAAATGAGCAGGGTGGTCGGGCTACTCATGCCAGAAAAACTAGCCAACAAAGTATAGTCATATCGGCCGATATCCCTCCTCTCCCCAGTAGCAAAGACACTTAAGACCTTACTGCTCCCGACGTTTACTTATCATCTGAGTCTAGTAGCACATCAACATGGCTTCTACAAAGTGCATAGTACTACAACAGCACGTGTTTATGTAAATAATAAGTAAAATAGGTACACAATTTCAACCCTAATTAAACTTTTTTTAATAATTCTCTTTTAATTTTCCTGGGAAATTGATGAGGTTTTAATTTGCTGACAAAATGGTGAGTGATCGAACGGAATCTTTAATAACTCTATAAATAATATTTTATTTTTTAAAAGTCCCCAAGAGTTTCTCAATTCTACCCCACAGTACGAAAGCTACCAGCCTCGAAAATTCCACGTGAGTGAGCACCTAAAATTAGCAACTCTCTTGCCCAATTGCTTTGGTTTGTACTCTCTCGCTCTCGCCTTCACTTATCGTATTATTTCATACAGTTGTTGTTATTTCGGTTATAACAAAGTTGTATTGCGTTCACTACTATGCATTTCTGCTCGGTTAGATTTTGCGGTAACGATGTAATGTTGCAAGAAGCCGGTTAATGTGACGTAGTGCATGCGAAGCAAGCCAAATGAAGTTTTTTGTTGTTGCACTTTTTGGTTCATTTTTTGTGGGCAACCAGATTTTTGCTTTTCCTAATTTTTTATTTTTGTTTTGATTATGTTATTTGTAATTTCGGTTTCGTACATCGCAGTTGTTGCACGAAAAGTAATCGGTACCTGTTGTTGCCGCCTTTTACAGCTCAATGAGTTTGTTGTGTATTTGTTGGGGAGTCTTCGGGGTACATATATTGTACGATATGTTACATACAAATTTATATTATAATTTTTTATTTTTATTATTATTTTTCATTTAAATTTTATTATTTTTTTGCTCACACACACGGATGGAAACATATAAATTTGAAAAATTCCATC